GGGGGGGGGGGGGATGTGGCATAAAAAATAAAAAAGGTCAGCAAGACAACAAGAAAAAGATGCACGTTCTGAATCTCGTGGGAGAAACCACAACGGTGCACCGTCCGTTCCCATATCCAACACGCGCCACTGGCACGCTTCACTACAAGTGCGGGGAGAACACGGGTGTCAAGACAAAGTGCGACACAATCTGGTGGCAACTCCACGCCTACGAACGAACAGCTGTAACAGCGCATTGTTTTCGGGCACCCTATGTCCAAGCGACGCATCTGGGAAATTGCACAGCAGCAGTCTGTATGGACTCGCTCTTGGCTCCAAGGGCCCGGAGGTGTTGAACGGGGGATGAGCAATTGGGGCTATGTCCGGAGAAGCTCGAACGAGCGCACAATAACCGCAGCAGCAGCAGCAGCAGCAGCAGCTCACGCGATTGAACAACGAGAACACGCACCTCTTCCTCGAGCTCAGGCACGTCGAGCTCGCTCTTCTCCTTGTACATGCCCTTCTTCTCCTTCCCCGCCCGGCACGACCGCTTGTCCCTCCACCCATCCTGCAACGCCTGAAAGCCACCCCGTAACAGAAGAAAGACACACACACACACACTGATCAGCCCGTTAGCGCGGTCGATGCTCATCAGAGACAAAACATAGACATTCTTTCACACGTCAAATAATGATCAGTCTGGTTCGTGCCGTCGATGCTTACCAAAGACCAATCATAGACAGACAGACATTTACACACGGAGTACGTGTAACATGTACATACTTGTACCAATCCATCCGGTTCCGGAAAAGAGCGGGTGCATCCATCCGGGACGGCGGCGAGGGGGGCGCCGGCGGCAGCGGCAGAGGACTACATCCGAAGTTTAGCCATGGCAACAACGACCACCACCAGCAAGAAAAACAACTAGTCTCGTGACGTTTGTCCCTGCGGCACTCCGTTTGGACTCAGCTATTCGCGCCCGTCCAAGCCATCAAGCATGAAGCCGTCTGAAAAACGTATTATACTCAAGTTAGGACTGGCCTGATGGTGATTGTGGAAGTGCCCCCCACCCCCCCACCCCACCTCCCCCGCCTCATAAAGTCTGATGATAAAAAGAGAAAATGAAACAAACCAAGAGACGAAACAGAAAAAGAACTACGAAAACCCACCTCAAGCTCCATTTTCTCCTTTCTCATTTGCTCCTTCTGCCGACGGCGAGAACGGTTCCAGTTCACGATCGTCAAAAGCGCACAGCCACGAAAGGGTACCGGGCCAGCCAAGGGGGTGGGGCGCCAAGATGAAACGAGCGGGGAGGGGCGGGGAGTTCCGCATGCCGTCAAGCTCCCTCGCTTCTCAGAGTCAACCTCGCCAACTAAATACCGCAAGAATGCGGGCGACTGCACAAACGTGCCATCGATTTTTCGAGATCGATTGCATCGTGCCTCGTACCCAACACGATGTGAACCCCGACCGATACGTGCAAGAACGAGATGCTCTCTAGGAGATTGCTCCAAAAATACACCTTTCAGCCTTGGCAGCCTCTTGGTAGGGGATGCGGAACAATCGAGCTTTCAAAATCGATGGCACCCCGGCACGTTCGCCCGCACTTTTACGGTACGGTGTGCAGTGTGCAACCCCGCCGTACTCTGGCTGGACTGAACATTGTACATCATAAAACCTTCCTGGCAGGGACAAAACAACAAAGGCGGTGTTCGTTATACCTATGCCTAAACCAAAACTACCAACGGTACAATAGCCACACCTCCCCTTGCCCTTCAATCCAGACCCCACTCCGGGGGGCACACTGCACCCCCCGCCCCAACACACACACACACCTTTTCTGCTCGGAAATCCTCTTTGTCCTGCATTTTCATGGCCCTCGGTCTCGGCGGGAGCGGAAAACACCGCTCGATCACGCGCATCAGGGTCTGCCGGGGGGCCGAGATGTAGTCGGTGGAGGTCGTCTCGGCCGCAGTTGCCGCCGCCGCCGCTGCCGAGGCGCCTCCGCCGCCAACGTCCTCGCCCTCCCCCGCCCCCGCGCCGCCGCCGCCGCCGCCGCCCCCCCCGCGCGACTTCATCGCTGCCTCTGTGCTCGCTTCACCCGTGCTCTGCAGGCCGATCACCACGCACTAGTAACGTCGTGTCGTTGACGCGGTGGTGGCCGATTTCGGTTGGTGCCATGGTGGGTTTTAAAGCATGTACGAACGACGCCGGCCAACAGGACACACACGTGTAGAGGGGGAGCAGAACCGCGAGTGCGTAGAAGAGCAAGCACGGCAGGAAGAGCGAAGGAAACGTGGTGAGCGCACACACACTCGTGTTTGCGGAAAGAGTGAACAGAGCCAGAGTGACCGCCGTCGTCACCGCCTAAAGCAAGCCTCGGTGTCGCTCGTGGCGCCGTTATGGGCATTGGCGCCAAAACCACGCTCCTGATCTGACGGTACTCCCTTCCAAGTGTCCCGCGTGCCACAAACGCAAGGAGTACGATGAAAAGAATACTTAAGCATTGCTAGAGAAAACACCCAACCATGTGTGTCACGTAGCCCCTATAGAAAAAGTGCTATTATCAGTGTCCACCGCCGGGAAATAGGAGGGGTTACTCGCCCCGACTCAACCCGAGGGAGGCGGTCAATGGCTTCTAGAACAACCGGCACGATATGTAATACTCCTGCTGAGGGCATCCCCCCGCCCACGGCCTTGCCCAAGAAGCCGACGCACCCGTTCGCAGCAGCCTTGATACACTCTGTATATCGCTGGAAAGGTTAACGTGAAGGTTTCCCGCGTGCGGACAGCGAGCGCTCTCAAGACCAACAAAGTTGAAAAAAAAAAAAACAGCCCAAAAACTTGTCGTACTGCGGTACCATCACTTGGTGCGCCTGTTCTCACCCAATCACCCTCGCCCCCCACAAAGAAACATGAATAACCTTGCGGAGCCCCTCCCCTCTTTCCCCAGACGCCCCATTCCCAAGAGCCGACAAGCTGTGTCATGATACCTTGTCGTTGTCCAGGGCCTGCTGTGCCTGCTCGATGGTGGCGGGCACCTTGGAGGCGATGCACAGGTCTCGGAAGAACCGCTGGTGAGACCCCCAGAAGTACCGCCACACGAAGCCCCCCTTGAGCGACCGGTGCCTGTTCGTCCCACCCACCAAACACACAAGAAACAAACACACACACACACACACACACACACACACACACACACACACACACATCTTTTCATTTGCTTGTCAACGTGTTATGTCTCAGTTTGAGACTTGACGTCCGTGCTTTCATTGGCGAGTAGGTTCCAGCAGCGCATTCGATGCATGAAACACAACAAAGGCTGAACAAGGTCAACAGGTAACTTGCCGTGAAACATAGACCGACGACTGCTGCGTAAAAAGGGTCGGCTGAACTACTGCAACCAATCTTCGTTCCGCCGTGCGCCCCTCGCAACCCCACCCCGCTTCACATGACATCATTTGGGAGCAAAGGCGAACCACGACATTCCTACACAGCACACTCCGGTATCAACCACCAACACACATGCATGCTTGTACAACCACAACCACCGCAACTAAACAATAGTCCGCATTCCGGTACTTGACAACACCAACACGCACACACACGACGCGTGCTGCGCCACGCACCGGCGCCGGGCGGCCACGGACTCGGTATCCGAGTCGTCGATCATCCCGTCCAGCTCGCCCAGGGGATCGTCCTCCTCCTCCTCCTCAGACGACAGGTCCAGGTCCTCCTCCAGGATGCCCGGCGTGCTGAGGAAGGCCGCCTTCTCCGCCTGGGCCCGCGCCAGCTCCCTCTTGAGTTCCTGCCAGAACGCCGCGGCCTCGTTGTACGTCTCCTCCATCTCCTCGCCAAGGACGTCGGTGACGAGCTGCGTTGTTGTCGTCGGTGTGGTCGTGTGTGGTGGTAATTGTTCCCGGTCCGTGTGGTAAGCGCGCGCGCGCGGGGTGTGTGGACAGATGGGTGTAGGAGCGCGTGACTGCGAGTCTAGGAGTGCGTGAGTGCAGCCCTAGGAGCGCGTTGGTGCGGCTCTAGGAGCGCGCGCACCCTGGTGATGTGTGCTCTTCATGCAGGTTCCGCTTCTTCGGAGGGGGCGCGAAAAGGGCTGAAAGCTATGGTGCATGAAGCTGAATTTTGAGTCTCTCATCATAGCACAACCACCCACAATTGACCCGCAAACCCAAACATTCAGCCGAGAATTTCAACATCCTACGCTTCACGTTCGATGCCTAGAGACGATGACGGAGTCTAGTTCTCCCTTTTCGCCCTGGAGAGGGTCCCCATACGTTTAACCTGCGGTGAAAACACGGCATGCTCCGTCCCGGCCTTGTACGGAATCGAGACCAACAGTCTTACGACTACGGTATGCACGGCTGTGAGTACGCGCCACCACCAGCACCAGCAGCTGTACAGGGGCACACCAAGAAGTGGGTTGATAAGGCGGGAAGTGGTATCGATAGGATAGATAGGCCACAAGGCACAACACTTTTTAGCCACCTTTGGCAAAGTAGGAAGGAACGATCGGCCATCGGTGATCGGTCCTGTGGGAACAATGCTCCGTCCTCTCGAGGACGCGTGGTCAATGGTCTAATCGCTAAGGCATACAAGACATGAGAGTACGCCCCCCCCCCCCCCCCCCCCCCCCCCCCCCCCCCCCCCCCCCCCCCCCCCCCCCCCCCCCCCCCCCCCCCCCCCCCCCCCCCCCCCCCCCCC